CTCTTGGGAACTGTGAGGAACAAATTGACAAGTATGTCAGTTGGCCTGATAAACCTGAATAATAATAAAACCTACATTTTCCAAAGGAGTGGAAAGGTGAAGAACTCACGCTGAATGGAACGCAAATGTAGGCCACCCAGGAAGTGGGGGCAGGGTTGCATGCCAGCATGTCCATGTTACTCACCAGGGAAGCTGGCCCCATGGCAGTGTGGATGTTGTCCATGCCCATTGCTGTCCTGGCTTTCTTCCTGCGGGTCTTCACTCTGTTGGGAGACACCAGGGTCTTTGACACAGGGTCACTCTTTGAGGCTAGATTGAGTGACTAGGGAAGGTCAAGGGTGGGGCTAGACTAGGAGTCTTCATAACAAGACTTTGGAACAAAGTCTCTCTCCCCACCTCCCCCAACCCCCAACTCAAGCCTGGCTCGGTGGCTACAAGCTGGATTCTCACCACCACGGCAACCCTTACCCTTGCTCCGGGCCCTCACAACCTCTCCAAGTCCCTATTCTCCACCTCTGGCCCACACCTGTCCCATCTCACACAAAATAGATGAGGCAGATGCAGCCAGCCAGCAGTGCAGTGACACTGGCTCCCACAACAGCCGCCCGAACCACATCTGTCTTCGTCCTCAGTTCTCCTGCCGACAAGAGAGACATGGGTGAACTACAAGCTTGATGAGCAGGCATGTATCCCCTCTTCTCAAGCAGGAAGAGATGGGTTCCCCTCTCCTCCCATCCAGGGCTGAGCAACTAGGTCCTCCAGAACCATGGGGTGAAGAATTCCCATCCAGGGCTGAGCAACTAGGTCCTCCAGAACCATGGGGTGAAGGACACGGTCTATGTGACATCTCCTATCCAGTCCCCACACTCCTGTGCAGCAAACCTCATCTTTTCTAGGACCTGGGTTCTTCTCCATCTAGGGTTTCTCTGCCACAGACCCCAGACCTGGCTGTCATAGGATCTGGAGCCTCGGTGTCCCATGGGCACTCCAGAGAGAGACACACACAGAGCACTGTGGGTTGCTGAAAGACCTCTCTTCTTCCTTCCTAGGAAGGTGTGAGAGTCTTCTCTCCTGACCTCCACTAGCCCTGTCTCTCAGGTGGGCTTTTGTGCCTCCAGAAGAAGGTGAAATCCAGGAGGTTCTCAGACCTTCAGGCAAGACCCAGATAGCTTTTGTGGCCTCATTTGGCCATGCCTCCCAGGAGACCTGGGGTCAGGGATGTATCTCTGAGCATCACCTGTTACAGTCTGATGGAACTGCTGAGAGAGTCCTAACAGGGTCACTGACCAGTGGGGGTGGGGACCAGATGCCATCATCAATGGGAATAGGGCAGGAGGAGGATAGGGCTCCAGAGACAGGTCAAGGTGAGGGTCAAGGGATGGGCAGGCAAAAAATAGAGATCTTCAGAGAAGTGAAAATGCTTTGC